GTTTTGACCCTGACATCCCTTCAAACAAATTTAATCTATAGAATGTCATTCTTGACCTTAGTAAAATGCGTGCAACAATAATTAAGTGGTTGCAAAATATAGGGGGTATTTTAGTGAAAAGGAAATTATAGTGTAGGTTTTAATAAATCCATGAAACTACAAGGGGTGTTTTAGTCAATGATCCTTTCTATTTTTATTTTTAGAAGATTACATTGATAATTACAAGGGAGAGACAACTTTTTTTTGGGCAAATTACGGATAGGTACCCTATACTTTGGGAGTAGTGAACTTTAAATTGCAACACCTGAGTACCCTGAACTCTCAAAAATAGACACTTGGGTCCATCCATTAGTATTTTGTAAGTTAAACATTATATAATATTAAAAGTACCCTTCTTGTGTTTTTTGAGATCATTCTTTGAAGTAAAATCATCACTAGAGAATGCCATCGTTCGAAAATTTGAATATGTTATTTGCTGTACATGTGAGAACGTCATCATGGGGGAGATGTTCATTTACTTGAGAATGATATCGGACATACATGAGAAGGGTATTTTTGGCATTATGTAATGTTTAACTAACAGATGGACCTAAGTGTCTATTTTTTAGAATTTATGGCACTCAAGTGTTGCAATTTAAAGCTCGGGGTATCTATCTGTCACTACCCCAAAGTACAGGGTACCTATCTATAATTTACCTTTTTTTCTATTTTTTTTGAAGGGCTAYATAATGGGTGTAACCCATCCCCCAATCCAGGTGCAGGCGGGATTCAATCCCAAGTCTCCGCTACGACCAGCTGGTTGGCACCTTGCAGGGGAGAGACTGCTTTGGACACATTCCTTTCCACTTCCATTACCACAAGGAAACCCTTGCTTTGTTTGTTACCGGACCTGTTCATGGGCTGGGCTCAGAAATTTGAATGGGCCTAGCTCAAAGCCCGAGCTTGATACAGTGTAAAGTCATGCCCAAAGCCCGGCCTATGAACAGATCTAGTTACCACAACAGTCATAGATAGGGGTTCAATTTGGGTCGGTTGGGGGTCAAACTTCAAATTTGGACTTGGCCCAACATGAGATCAAGTTCAAATTTACCAGTCCAGGCCAAACCTGAGCTTAACCCAACATAACTCGGGATGGGTTTGGGTTAATGCTGAGTCAGGCCAGGTTTGGGAGGGTTTAAAAGATCTTATGATTATATTTTTAGAAAATCATCTTTTATTGATCTTTAAATTCCAACATAAAAAAAAATAGGATTCTAAACACCCTCCCCACTCCACACAAGCACAAAAAGAATAAAAAGAAAAAAAATCTAATTTATTCGACAGGAACGGGTCATCAAAAAGTTGGCTGTCTTTCGGTATAAGCAACGGGGTTTTAGGCATAGGAAGGATCGGATCAGATGGGAAGCTATTCCCTCATTCCAAATCTCCAACTGGCCTTAAAACGACGACTGGACTGGAATATATAGCAAGGGCTTTCAAGTTTGAACCACATTCAACAGTACTAGTAGCTGTAGGGAATCTTGACTTCTTTCGTTTTACCAAAACCAGGGGTTCACGTAATTTATTCTGTTTTACAAATTTCAGATCCATAGTCCGTAGCGTTAACATATATTTCTAATGTATGGTTAGAACTAAGGTTTTTAAAATCGATTCAGAGAACGAACCGGTCAGGGGTCCAGTTCCGGGTTGAACGGTTTGACCATTCGAACCGAATGGTCGGCCCATTCTGACTAAAAAATAAAAAACAGTCAAAACCATTAAACGGTTCAAACGATTCAACCGCTTGAGTCAATGATTTACTGACCAAATCAACATTATTTGCAAATATCTGATTTTGAAAAAAAAAACACAAAACCGATCACCTAACCGATATTTCCGGTCCAACCGTTTGATCTGATCCGATTTTAAAAACCATGGTTAAAACATGCTATAATGTTAGTGTGAGGAGCGTTCCATGATAAACAGATTCGGACTCCTCCATATCCATGCATAGAATTGGATGCCATAACAAGCACRGGCCAAAACTAATGGCTGGCCGTGATGGGTGTTTGATATGAGATGATGAATTCAGATCAAATTTTGGTTTGGTTAATTCAAATATCGAAAGCGGCAATTTCACGTGAGGTGCCAGTTGTTGTGCATCTCTTTCTTTTTTTATTTGAAAGTTGTGGGTGGACAGGGGTCCATGTGGCAAGGTTTGGCATCCACCATTCCCCAAACCAACATTAAATCATTTCCTTTTAGGGATATCATCTAAAACTCTTCACTACTTTTTTCACATTTCTCTTATCACAATTTTTCAAATCCTCCAAAGAGGCCCTTGTGAATGAATTAGTGAGTTGTTTATATTGATTTCTGATGGAAGTTGTCGATAATTTAAGTATTATTTTATATGACTAAATTACCCTTGAATGGTCAATTAAGTTTATTAAAATATATATCTTGAATATATGCTGGTTGGTCTAGCTGATGTAAACCTGGGTCTAGGTCAAGGGTAATTTTATCATAAACATATTTAATAAGGACGAGTAGCCATTCAAGGCTAGTTTGTCTTGTAAAATACTTAATGCTTATAGAGGCAATTTCTATTAAGAATCACCATTTGTGATCTAATGGTCCATTTGGTTGCCGAGAAAGGATGGAATGGAAAAGGATGATGAGAAAGAAATACATTTTTCCCATTTTCGCATCCGGTGTTTGTTTCCAGATAAACATTATGATCAAAATTCATTTTCCTGTATTTGTTTTCTATGATCAAGTTTGTCATCCTTTCTCACATTCTTCAATGACCTTGCATGGTCGACCACATGATATAAGATATCGCAATCACATTCTACAAAAATGATAACTATCATGTTCCATATTGTACATGGTACTTGCTTGCATTACATATTCTTTCTCATTTCATATAATATAAGATAATCATAGCTACTAAGCTGATCGCAAGAAAATATTAAATCTAAGATCACCTGTTAACTGAAACCAAAATCAAATGCTTTGTTGTTTGTGATTACTTGAAGCAAATGACTATCCAATAGAAGTTAGATCTGGTTCAATCATGCCAAATCTAAACTTACCTTCATCGAGAACGCCGATAGTGAGATCTAGATGACCAAGCACGGATGGAGCCAGTAGTGAGATTTGGATGGCCACCCATCAAACAGAACAAGAGTAAAAAGGGTATCAAAAAGAACGGGAATGAAGAGATAGTGTTGGAACTACACTTATCGTCCAATGAGAATGTTGGAGATGTGACTGTTGGACGAGAAGAAGGGAGGCGATGATGTTTGTGAGAGGTCTCTTGACAAAATTTTCTCGCCTTTTTTCCTTTTTCAGCAGGGTCTCACCATGGTTTTCAAAACCAGACCGGACTGGACAGTCGGACTAGAAAAACTAGAAACCGATCACCTAACCGGTTTTGTTTTTCCCCAAAACCATTGATTTTGGTCAGCAAATCGCTGAACCGGCTGGTTAACCGTTCAAACGGTTTTGACCGTTTTTCAATTTTCTTTTTAATTTTTTAATTTTTTTGTTAGAACCGGTAACCAAACTCCTGACCAGTTCGACTTTAAAAACCATGGATCTCACCAAATTAATGCGCCCCCGCTTATCAATTTTTGGGAACCTATGTCCCTAATGGTTCCTTTCCTTTCCCAAGTTTCCATTTGAAACAAACACACAGAAAAAAAAATATTCTTCAAATATGCTTCCTTTCTCATCCATTTCTTAGAAATCAAACGCACCATAATGCGAATTTTGGAAAAAAAAAAAAAAACACATTGGGGCTCCTTAAATAGATTTGGGTTTTTGGATAAACTATCCCCCTTGTACTATGGGGTTAGTGACAAATATCCCCAAACTTTCATTTGCCACAAAATACCCCTGCCCATTTACAAATGACGAATGCATTAAATTATCAAAATATCCACATGAGCTTTCCTTATTTTTGTTCTTCACCCTTTCTCTTAAATGCTAATTTATCAAAAATGCCTCCATTAATTTCTTCAAAAAAATAGCTAAATTAACGAGAATCATTTCATCGTCATAGATTTTTTTTTTGTATTTCTTGTTTAATTTCATTGACGTGAATATCTCTTCATCTTAAAATATAAAACTATCAACTTCTTTCTCCAATAAATCAAAAAAACAAATAAAATCATAAATTTATAGCTATAAAACCTCTACTTTGCATATCTTAATCCATCCAGAAACCTACAAGAATCTATTACAGCATTTTAGAGAGGCTTCAATGTTATAATAGAAAACTAATTGAATCATAAATTGTTTAAATAAGTAAAGGGTTGTTTGTAGATTTAAAAAAAAAAAATTAATCAACTGAACGAAAATAATTTTTAAAATTAAGGTACTCTAATGAATGGGTATTTATCGAAAAGTGAAAGTTCATGGTTATTTGTCACTGACCCCGTTGTAGGGGGGTTTTGATTTACTGATTTACCCTTTTAAACGTTGAAAAGTCATGTCCCTTATTTCTATTCTTATTGGATGGTCGAGATCATCTTGACATGGGTGGATGTCATAACTCACCCTCTGAATCCGGGGTTCTCGTGGGCTCACGGCTGTTCTACACCTACCAATTATCAGTATGCATGTCAATTACTATTTTATTTAATTTTTTTGAAAAAAATGTACATTTTTTATTTATAAAATTACCAATCAGCCCCAACGCGTAACTTTCTAATGATGAGACGTTTTTCATCTACGGTTCTACACATACTTATCGGCACTGTACCTCATTTGGTTCTTTGCTTCCTCTGATCCCTGACAACAGTGTATATATACACTGCTCCGATCTTCTACACTTTTTTCTATACTTTTTCATGCACTTCCATTCAATCTGTGACAAGTGTCCCCAAACGGGTCCCACACTCAAATTGCTATACTTGTTTCATCCGATTGGAATCTATAATTTTTTTCTTTTTTTTTTTAGATTTATGGAAATTTGTGTTTCTGCCTTTCTGCTTTTTTTCTTTTTTTTCTGAATTAAAGCGAAGCGAAGCGAAGCGAAGGTGGGAATTGAATTGCAGGGAGAGGGAGGGGAGGACTCTGAGGAGACCCGCATTTATTGACGCTCCCCTGTTTTCTTTTTCTTTTGGTTGGGGTCAGCTTCTGTGTCATCTTTTTCTTTCTCTCTTTAATGGTCTTCTTCTCCATCGTTCGAAAACAGGGGAGACAGAGAAAAACTAATATTTCAGAAAAAAGGATCCTCGAATAACTATATTAAACAGCAATTTTGGCGAAAAATAGAAAATGGGTACCGCCTCTCAAGATGCGATCAAGCAATTCCAAGCTCTGATGGACGATGGTTAGCTCCTTCGATCCCCATTTTCTGTGTTGCTGATCTTGCATTGACGATCCCTGACTCTTTTTTTTTTGTCTGTTGTTGCAGTGGACGAGCCATTGAAGAAAACATTTCAGGTACGCATTCTTGAGCTTCTTGATCTATGTTCCCTATTTCTTCTGTAAGAATTCCGTGTGTATATGCATATATTCGTGCCCATACAGGGCTCTTCACTGAGATCTGTCTATACTGTTGTGCAGCTTGAGCTTTATGAAGTTGATCTTGTTAATAATTGTTCTGTTTTAAAAATTACTCAGTTTTGCTCTTGGACCGAGATTTTGTTCCAGTGCTGCTGTGTACAGTTTTTGTTATAATGGACATTTTTTTTATAATTTTTCTTTTCCTTCATCGTATCTTTTTTTTTTTTTTATTATGGTTTCATTTTGAAACTCGGGTTGCAGTTCAGTCGGTACACTAATTGTTTGTTCCATTAAGGTTGTTTGATCTATGTAATTTAGTGTTATCTCTGAACTCTGAGAGTCTTAATAGCTACATGGAATTTGCCTAATTACTTTTCTTGCTGTGAGAGTTTATCTGATTTTGTTTTAAAAATTGGGAAGCCTTATGTCGTCTTCGTTTTCAGTGAGCATCATCACTGAATGCACAAAACGCCACTATTTTGTCTCAGCTGACCCACAGGCTAACTCAACTTCGCTTTAATCCCAACTATTTGGGTCGGTTATACGACCATTTCTATAATTTCTTTTTTCTTTCTATTCTCTTAGTTGAAATTAGCTGGGGTTACATGGTAGCCAGACAATAGGTTTTCGGTTCTCATATCCAGTACAATAGATATAGACCTCATCTTTCTTCTTTCTGTAAAAGTAAGTTGAGAGCTGTCTTATGCAGCAGGAAGCAGGCCCAATTTTTCTTTCTTTTTCGCTTGAAAAGCAGGCCCAGTAATGTAAATGTTGTATTCAAGTTTTGAATTTTCTTTTCTATCAATTCCCGTTTTATGGGGTTTGGCTAAAATCAATTAGATCCGGAAAAAGAATGTGCTTTTTATTTATTTTTCTCTTGCATGTTACATGCATTCTTTTGTTCAATTGGAAAATTATATTGATATTTGAAATTTGGATTTTCTATAATCTGATCAAGGTTTGTTTCATGATGCCCAGAACATGCATCAAGGATACCCAGCTGAAACTTTAGTGCGGTTTCTAAAGGCAAGAGAGTGGAACGTCACCAAGGCGCATAAAATGGTTGGATACAGTTATATTGATTAAAATCTAAAATATTCTGCTAAATCATTTATACTTCTATGTCTAAAAAATCCAATTCTCTCTTTCTTTATTTGTGATGAAATATCTTTGTCTTGTTCCAGTTGGTGGACTGTTTAAATTGGAGAATACAAAATGAGATTGACAATATATTAACGGTGAGTGTTTGTATTAAATGTGATATACAATCCATTCTGTAGTTACCAGTCYGGGAAGAACAAGAAAAGATAAAAAAGGGTCTAATACTTTCTTTTCAGGCTTTGGTATGAGTTGAAGTCCAAACTGATATTTGGGCATCTTTTCTTTTGCATGTCTTACGTCAGCCAAATCATGTATGGCATTTATGTTAAAAAAGGCAATTATTCAATGCTGGTCTGCACCATATGAGGTCTTGGAAGGGATGGAATGAATACAGACCTAACCTCCACCTTTTTAGAATGAAGTAGCAGCTATCAGTCTTGAACCTTACACTTGTCAGCCTGTAATTTTACCATCACACCAAGCAGTGGCCCCTAATTGGCATTTTCCGTTGATTGACTAAACTTAATTGTGTTTTTTTTTTTTTTTTTTTTTATTGATAGGTTTCTTAGGAACTTCAGTGTAGTTTTTAAAACAAACCAAGAAAAGTAAAAACAAGGTCAATATGGTAGTTTTACTAATTTACTTGTTCTTTCTTGATGCAGAAACCCATAATTCCTATTAACTTATACAGAGCAGTTCGTGATTCACAACTTATAGGGTTGTCAGGTTACTCAAAAGAGGTCTGCATACAATTTCCATTTTCACCCTGTATTCAATCTGTGCATTTGTTTTTCTGTGACATTAGGTTCTCTTGCAGTTGTAGACAAAATCAACCATGCGAGCAAAGATTTGACATTCTAATTGCATGTTCTCCTTTCTTTGTCTGACAGGGCCTTCCTGTCTTTGCCATTGGAGTAGGTCTAAGCACATTTGATAAAGCATCTGTAAGTAACCATACTAGTAAAGTTCTGCCCAAAACGCTTAATGATTCTCAAAAAGGATTTGTTAGCAGTAAAGCATGGTGTGGAATACAATTTGAATGGAGGCTTTAAAAGTTGGTGTCTGGATATACCAGATACCAGTAATTTAGAAATGTAAAGAAGCTGAAAATCTAAGGTGTGTCACATTGAGTAGGATGTGACTTGGGTTGTATTAGATTGATTATTTGTTAAATTTTGAATGGGCCCATGCCCAATCCCAAACCTGAGCTCAACTCATTGTTTGTGCCAACTTTTGGAGTTGGCTGTACTTAAAAGATTTTTATCCTAAATTTATGAAACAACAGACCCCGCATTGGCGGGAGCCGCATGAGCTGGGCTTCCCTTTATGTTTAAAGGTACAATTATAATTACTTGCCGTTTAAATTATATACTCTCCAACATAGAATGGTGCATTATTGGCATATCTTTGAAGGAAGTATGTAATTTTCGTCTTTGACTTACCAGTAAATTTCCACTGTGTAATATTTACTTGTAAACTTTCCTTTTATTTAGGTCCACTACTATGTGCAGTCACACATTCAAATCAATGAATATCGAGATCGTGTACTTTTGGTAAGTACAATATCTGAAAATTCACATGCTTGTTTAGTTCCTGTTTCTCCTGTCTTACTACTTTCTTTTGTAGCCTTATGCAACAAAAGCATATGGGCGACATATTAGCACCTGTGTAAAAGTTTTGGACATGACTGGTCTAAAGTTCTCAGCTTTGAGCCAAATAAAGGTATTTCCTGTATTAATATCTTACATAAAAATGTGTTAAAAATGATTCTTAATTTAGCTCTTGTGATTGATATGTAATTTTTTTTCCTTCTTTCTTTCTTTATTTCCTTTTCCCTTCACTCCTTTCCCCTTTTTCCATCTGGGCTTTGCACGCACAGAGTTCCTTTCCAACCAATCACCCAGAAAAGGAAAAAAAAAAAAAAAACAGAACAAACTAGGCCATTTTACAATTAAGTGATATTTCTCAGAGGTTGCACCAAACAAACTAGGACATCAGAAAGTCATTTTGCCAGACTTTAGAGATCCATTAAGGCAAGAAAATGCCACCTAAATCTGTTGTTACATTATATTCTTTTACCAACATTAACAAAATACTCTCAAGGTAAGAAATAAGCTGTTAAAACTCCAGAATTAATGCTATCATCATCACCATTGCAACCATCATCATTATCTGCCACAACCCAGCTAAATGTGGCATTTTGATAGATATAGCTAAATGCGATTGATAGAATGAATTTTGTTCTCCAATTATGTTCTAAGTTAATCAGATAAAAGATCTGAGAATCTCAACCCAGGACCCTATTTGTTTGGTAGGGACAACCACTTCTATTCACTTACCTTGTCAACAAGTGGCTGTACTGCTGAGTCTCCTCAAAATGTTGTCATTTTTTATCTTATATCTTTTCATTTCTCCTCTCATCCATCTCAGTGTCTCCAGAATTACGTTCTAGTGTTCTGTTAGAAAGGCATAGCCAGCTGTGTTGATTGAATAAAACTCCTGAAGCACGCTGGACTTTATTTGCCCAACTTTAATTCTATTGCTTGCATTTCTTCCAGTCTCTCTCTCTCTCTCATGAATAATTAAACCAAGATATTGATAATACCAATAACATAAAAAGGAGTGTGTTGGCACTAACAGTTTAGGCTTGATAAACATTGATGAGTTTTAGATATGGTAATGTTGCATCTTGTTGTAAACTATTAAAAATGGTTCACCTATGTATGAAATATCTGAACACACACACACATGCAAAAAACACCAGAAAAAGATCAATTACCAACAGGAGTGAGATATATATTCCCCTTAGCTCCTTGAATATGGATAACTTGTGCAACAGTGGGAACTTCAGTTCAATTGTCCTATACTTGGCAGTAAAATAGCCAATGGCCCAGTATCTGAGATGTGTCACTCAGCATCCCTCCCAATATGGATGTGCAGGATCAAACCCACATAACTGCAGGCTCTTTGTGGCAAGATCTTTGGACCACACATGCACCCTGCATAAGATTTGAACAAACAAGAATAGCCAAATTATGTGGGTAATTGTGAGAGGACTTAACATCACATTACATTGCAAGTATTCATATTCTGATATAAAATTCTTGTTTCTTGTTCTTAACATACCCAAAATCTTAGCAAATGTCTGGACTGGTCTCCTGTGCTTATCCGGTTATCTGAAAAGTCCTAATTTGTCTTGTAAAGATAAATGATTATAAGGTTCTGTTCTCTCTATGGAACATTCTATATGAATGAATCTTCTCATTTTAGTTTTATTATTGTTTCATCTGTTGATGCAGCTGTTGACTACCATATCTACAATTGATGATTTGAACTATCCAGAGAAGACAGAAACATATTACATTGTAAATGCTCCTTATATATTTTCATCATGTTGGAAGGTAGCTATTGTCCCCTTCTTGGGATTTAATTCTTTTACCTTTATAGGTTACCCTATGCACATCCAGTTTAAAACTTTAAATTACTTTCCATCAGCATAGTTATCATTATTTCACTATAAGCAAGTTTTGTTCCTTTCTATCGTCAACAGTTTTTAGTGTGCCAACAACATCTTGATGAAATGTTGGCAGGTTGTGAAGCCTCTTTTACAAGAGAGGACAAGACGGAAAGTTCAGGTGCTGCAAGGTTGTGGAAGAGATGAGTTGTTAAAGGTAGTATATTTTTCCTCCATGAATTATTTTACTTGGATATAGACTACTTGAATACTTTGAAATGTACCTTCTTTGTAATAGTTCAATGTAAGTAGGGAAGTTGATATTCAGATAGTTTGGAATCTTAAAAGAAGTTAGGTTCCACACTTTGGTGAGGCTACACTTGCCTTTTTTTTCTTTTTCCCTACTGACCTCCCATTTAATTTCGATAGCAAGAGTTCATAGCATACTTAAGTGAAAAGATGTGTAACCCGAAGAAGGTCAAGCATGGAGTTGCTTGATATGCTGTTGGTAACCTAAATTTTGGTATTTCCATTACATGGGCTTGGTCCTGCCATTTCTTTCACAACAAACTTAAGCAATTTTATGTTGAATGACTGTAGCTTTAACATTGTTGGCCTGCAACCTGTATGCAGATAATGGATTATGCATCTCTCCCACATTTCTGCAAAAGAGAAGGCTCTGGTTCATCTCGACATTCTGCCAATGGAGCAGATGATTGCTTCTCCCTAGACCATGCATTTCATCAAGAGCTATTCAACTACATTAAGCAGCAATCAATGAACATGAAACCAGTTGCACCAATAATCAAGCAAGGGTCTTTCCATGTTGATCTGCCAGAGCCAGATCCAGAAGGAACCAAGATTGCTCTAACAATAGAAAGTGAACTTCACAAACTAGAAGATCGGAATGGTCTTTCTCGTTCACTAAGCGGCATGAATATGCATGGAAACTAAGATCAGAGATAGTCTCTTACTGTTAGGTAAAGAACCTCAACAGTTGATGCCCAATCACATGGTGAGATCTACAGCTATTTTAGGGTTTCATTATTCCTGTCATTGTCAATGTATCTATTGGAATGTAATGTTAGTGGCTTGCATCATCTTGATGCACGTGTTGTAGGAAAGGCTAATTTTGTTTTCACTCTTCACTCCACTTATCACCGTTAGGCTGGGCCAGTTTGAAGCTAATATTGGCCTGAAATGGAGAAATGAAAGTGTAAGCTTTTACTATTAAGTTAATATAATATGAGATCCTATGCCTAATTTGTTTTGAACATACTTGGTGTAAGCCGGTGGATTTGGCAGTCGTGGTCTATCTTGGAAACCCAGAGGAAAATGACCATGGGGGGCTACGTCAGAGGTTACAAAGAGACTAAAAAATTTGGAGAAATGGTAGGACTGAGGAGAAAGAGAGAGGGAGAGAGAATTTGGGTTTTGGATCTATTGAGTATATTGGGCTGGGCCCCCATGTGGGTATGGGGCTCCTATTTATGATATTTTTTTATTTAATTAATAATTAATATTTTAGAATGTTCTGACAGACTGACACTAAACAAGTGGAAATGGCTTCAAGTAAATATTGGATTCGGACAGGTTTGATTTAACTCGGGTTCTTGCTGGGTCAACTGCAATAATGTACTTTAATAAATTTACTGTTTTGTATTTAATGGGCATAAACTAATTTGGGCCATCAATATTTTGGACCAATGGAGTTATTTTATACTTTTTTTTCCTTTTCCAACCTTTGAAGCCCATTAGGGTTGCATCTTGCATCGTGAGAAAATGATGAAAGCTACTGAAACAAAACGCTGAGAAATGTGAAAAAGCATGTTTTATTTATTTATTTTTTTTCAGGTTGGAATATGATCATTACTTCTCTCCAGAGTCCAGCCCATCATTCCAAAAATAAAAATAAAAAATCAAACACTTCCTGTCATTCTTCTAAGGACACTCTTGTGGGGGTGGATAAGAGAGAGAGCTTAATTAATCTTAATCAATTGGCTAACAGTCGTTTCTAATTGTAGCTATTATTATCCATCGTAAAACAGAAACTGTTACATATGTTAGGGAACTGTGCCTTAAGAAACGGCTCCATTCACAAGCCCTATATAAATAATACCCCTATTATCCCCTTTTATGGCATAACTCTTGTTTTTTTCATCTCTGTTCGTTTGTTTGTTTCTACTTCTTTTACATTTTAGATTTTTTTTTTAAGAAGCAACCATAGACATTGGAGAATGGAGCCCTTAGCCATAGTTGGATTCACCGGGGGAGTGATCGGACAGATTGGGTTAATCATCTTACGGTTCCGGCCAGTCTTCAACTTCGTTAGTCGGCTGATTGAGTGCCTTCGACACCCTCGCCCACCTCCTCCTCGAGCCATCACGGCTGAGACGATCTTCGACGCCATAGAAGAGCGCCTTCGGGCTTGAATTAGGAAACTACCGTGTAAAATTACTCTATTTACATTATGAGTTTGACTATGATACTACGAATACATCATATCTGAAAAACTTGTGATCAATCAACCCGTATGATAAATATATTAACCAATCAGATGGTATTGTTTTTATCAAAATTCATATGATTTTTAATTGGTCAAAGCTCTTCTGATACCATATCTTTTCGACATCATAGATTCGGCCTCAGAAGTCAGAACTTGGACATTAAATCTGAGAAGGGGCTATTCAAGTCAGACTTGAGGAGAAAGGGTAATACGTCACTGCTTATGTAGAGTTGAGACTTGAGAGCTTTTTTTCACCAGCAAAAGCGTGAAGGAATCGTTTTTCAAATTTTAAAAGGTACAGAGTAAATACGGCACATGCCCGACAAAACACAACCTCTGGCTGAATTAAGGTTGACTCAAATACAATCTCTAAGCATCTAGAGAATGATTTACTCTTTCATGTTAGCATGGTGCATGCGTTTTACTCTTTTCCTCATTTTTTCTTCTTTGGTTGAGCATTTTCAAGTTATTTCAAATATCGGATGCCAACAACTTTTTTTTTTTTTTTTCTTTTTGCCTATGTGATGCCTAGCTGCACTCGGAACCATGGTTTTAGAACCGTCGTTGACTTGGACGGTCGGACCATTTGGCCCGGAATCCGTCCATGCAACCGGTTTCATTTTACCTCAAACCTGATCCCTAGTAAAAAACCGTTGAATCAGTTAACAACCCGTTGATTTGGATGGTCGACCCATTTAACATTTTTTTACTATTTTTTTTATTTTTTGTTAGAATAAGTCGTCCGTTCGAATCAGACGTTTGAACCGTTGACCCAAAAACCGATGACCAGAATGGTTCTATTTCCAGGTCGTTTTTTAAAACCATGCCCGAAACCCAATGATTTTGGCAACAAGAGCTCCAACTACACCATTTTAGATGTTTCTTGCAATGGAAACAACGCTTTTCTTTTTTTTTTTTTTTGCCCTAACTGGTATCGGGAACACATTGTTTCATGTAACAAGAGTTCTAGCTATCCTGGCAACAACCTTGATCTCAACTTGAGTTCAAGTGTTCAACTTCCAGAAGGATCTGCCTTGTTGGTTTGTATGGTATCTTCTATGCTTTTCTCCATGTTGCCATCTAGTTGAAGCCTTAGTGCCTTATGGCCTTTTTTCTGGTTATCTTTTTATAAATTTCATTTCACCCTGGCTGAGTTTGGAAGGAGTACAAATAATGTAAATATGTAGAGTGCAAAACCTTATATTTAGTATGCATTTACACTGTGCATATTTGCATTTGTATTCTTTCCAAACTGGGCCTAGGTTATATTTGGCTGCGGTGCAAATCTAAATCAGATACAAATTTTAGACACGGTTCAGTTTTGCATCTATTTATTTGCAACTATGATTCACACTTTTACCTGATATAAAATTTGTATTATTTTGTTTGATTTACACTCACTAGCAATGTAAATTTTATTTCTCAAAATATGATAAAAAAATTTTCATCACCTCCTCCTACTTCAATTCTCTCATATAAAGTGAAAACCATATCATCTAGCTTCCTAACTCACTCCCAAACAAATAGTCATCTTTAACTCTATTACTCCATGGGACTACAAAACAGGGGTAATCCATCCCCAAAACCCATAACCCCCCCCCCAACCTTGGTGTAGGTGGGGCCACAGCATTTTACTTCCCATATTACTTTTCAGTTTTCACAAACAAATAAGACAAGGTCAAATCTAAAATAAAAGTAAATTACAATTTACACTCAGCCTATTTCCACTCTCATGCATTCACACTCTCATCTACCACAACCAAACACGGCCTAAAGGTCATTTTCAGACATTCCATTACAAAGTGACGTAATTCTAAATATTAACAGGCATAGTTTACATGCAGGATTAAACTAAAATTCAATGGTAGTAAAACATTATTTTCGAGTGTCTCAATTGGTAACACACCTGGTGAGTTTGGTATCCCATTATTTGTTCAATGATGAGACATCCTTTCAACTGAGCCCTACAGATATTCCATTATTTGTGGGCTATACTGTTGGATTTTAATCTCATAAGAGATTAAATCCAAAGGGTTTGATTGGTCAATTATATGAGAAATTGCACCTACACATTTGATTGAAAAATTAGCTTTTCTCTTACAAAACCCAGTTTTGAACTTGTTCCACATTGGAAAATTATAAGCTTTGTTTTCAGTATTTTAATAGGAGCTGATTTACACTCCTTAGAAATAGTAGAGAAGAGTATGGGGGTTTGATACCGTGCGCGCATGTGTGCGGCGCAACGTTGATGACCGTTGATCACCGTTGATGTGATGTTGACCGTTGATCACCGTTGATGAGATCAACGGTCATGATGCGATCGGGTGTGATCAAGAGGCACAATTCAAAGTCAACAGTCATTAACTGTTAACTACTTTTTAAACAGTCGCAATGTTTGAAATTGTGACTGTTCAAGGTGCCTTCTCTAAACCAGCACCTACCTTTTCTTCATACCTCTTCATAAACTATTTAAGGAGCATGAATCAGACTTCAAAAACACACATTTTCGAAATTCACTCTCTCTCTCTCTCTCTCAGTCCGATCTGCTACAGTCTCATAGAAGGTTTCCCCGGAGATTCTTCAACTTTGCTGGTTGCAGATTCTCGCCCAAGGCTCTGTTGTATCCTGGGAATAGATTTGCCTGTAACCCAACAGCAAACTCAGTGAAACTGAGCGGGGGCAAATAACGTTCTAAAGACAGTGTCTTCAGACGCGCCTCAGATCTTCTCCTCTAAAGTTACAGTGACCCCATTTTCCAACAATTTTAGAACGTTATTCTGTAATGGAGGTAGAAGCAAGCATGACTTCAATCAAGATGATGAACCAAGATCTTATTTGACTAGACCAGCTCGATGGAGCAAACTCCAGCCGATGACAAGACAAGATGATATTCTTTCTAACCACACTAAAACTATACTATCTGTTGGACTCGAATCTGCAATCACTTTCTGAACCCACTGACAAAGACTCAGAAAAACTAAAGAAGGAAAGAGCAAAATGAGAAGATGACTCATTTCTATGTCGATGACACATACTGAATGCCTTATCAGACCGGCTCTACAACTTCTACAAGGAACTTACATCTCCAAAAGAAATCTGGGAGGCCATGGAATTAAAATACAAAGTGCAAGAAGCATGTACAAATAAGTATCTTATTGCAGAATACTTTGACTTCACCATGAACGACCATAAACCCATACTGGAGCAAGTTCATGAACTATAGGTGATAGTCAACAAAATTCGATCCATTGACATCATCCTTCCTGAATCTTTCCAAGTGGGAGTAATCATTGCCAAACTTCCACCCTCTTGGAAGGATTACAGGAAGAAGCTTCTGCACAAGGCTAAAGAACTTACCTTGGAGCAAATTCAGCAACACCTTTGTATTGAAGAAGAGTCTCGGATTAGAGATAGTAGGGGTAAGACCCTGGCCAGTATGCTGAACTCTAAGGTCAATTTTGTGGAAAACGGATCGAAGAAAACTAACCCTGCATTACAAGTAAAGAAGAAGGATGGGAACTTCAAGAAGAGCAACAATAAGAAAGGATCTTGCTATGTTTGTGGAAAGAAGGGGCATTATGCCCGAGTCTGCCAACATTGGAAAGACGAAACCAAGTCTGCAAACATGGTAGAAGACAATCTAGTGGCCATGATTACTGAAGTCAAGATGGTAGAATCGTCTTCTGGATGGTGGTTTGATTCAGGAGCCACAGTCCATGTTTGCAAGGACAAGTCCTTGTTCAAGACATATGAAGAAATGACTGATGGCC